CGGTCGACATTCGTGCCCTCCTTCTAGCGCCACTTTGTTGCGAGGAACAACTGTATGCCGTGGCCTTGGGGCCGACGCGGCTTGGTTCGGGTCCGAATGTGCGGAGATCTGGCGCGGTGCTCCTTGGGACAGCTGGGGTGGCCAGTCGAAGCTGTCCGGATGGGACGTAGCGCGGGGGGGGGTGAAGCCTTGGCACGACGTCAGGAAGGTGTGACCTCGCCCTTATTCCTGCACACAGGTCGGGTCGGGAGCTCAACCCGACCCCTCCGACGATCAAGTTAGGAGATGCGATAGAGAGTTGTCTTTTTTCTCCTTCTCCCACATGTTTAGAGTGCAAGGGTATTTATAGGGAAGCTTACCGTTACCTGATGTACCCGCTTGTGTGAGGCGGGGTCGCACCTCTGATGGCGTTTGACATCGTTACTGACGTTGCGTGGAGAACCGGATCGTCGCAGGGTATGGGCGAGGGTTGGTAGTCGTCCTGCCCTGCCATGGTCAAGCGTGAGGGGTTGGAAGTCGTTGCCTGATAGCGGGTGACGTCAGCGCGAGTCGAGTCAGCGTTATTGCCTTTCGCATTGGGCAGAGTGGCGCCCAGGTGGGGCCATCGTCATGACACATCATGTCGTCATTATTTCCCCTATCAATATGATTGTAATATGAACTAATTAGATATTAGTTTCTTTAATTAGTTATCTTTAATATTTCAATCTTTATATTTTTTTAAAATTATATTAAGATTCTTATACTTAGAAAAATAAAATATTTAATCTTATTTCTTCTACGAAAATTTTCCTGACGGCTGTTTAATATGTTTAATAATAAATCGAAGTGAGACAGTCAACACATGATCAATTCATAACGAGATTAAATGTTTCAGGTACAAGGATCTCAATAATATGACTTTTAAAAATATAAAACTGAGATGCTAAAGATAATTAATTATAAGGATAATTTATAATTAGCTCTCGTAACATAAGCAATTCATAACATCCAACCCACTCAAAAATATCTTTTGAAAATTGATCAGATTCGCTCAACTCTATGATGGCGTAGATGGACGATCAAATTAGACACTATTACATTGATATTAGAAATATCAAGGAGCCTTGAAGCCAAGCAAAAGAAATCCACATCGACGGATGAGATGCCCCGTCGACGCAAAGATGGAGCTCCGACGTTGTTTTCGCTTGATGCCAATCGATACACAAATAAACCAAATGAAACGTAAAGACATTTGATTATTGGCTCTCTGATTCGATTTCCTAAGCTTTTATATATTGTATACGAGAGATAACATGATTCGTAGAAAATAATAGATGACCACTCAGACGTCATAGTATCACCAGCTCGACACACATAACTATCACTCAATATGTCGAACCAGTGAACTGCAACAACAGTTTCAGACAGCTCCTCAATTCCGAGTAATGCCTAACAGAACCACGAAATTACTCATATGAATTAACTCCCTGATTTTTAGAGTCGATCATGAAACATATCTTAAGCTCATAATGAATTCTCTGAAACTTACATCATACTAATTCGGTTCGTGAAAGAAGTCAAGCACACTAATGTTCTAATTCATCGAGATAGCCTAACACAAGCATCAATTTTGAGAATTACCGAAATGTATGCAGGTTACTTGCTACTCATCGCATGCGAAGATGAAAGCACATGAAACACGATTGGCGCAAAGCATTCGACTCATCCGTTTAAGCAACAGATATGAAATGTCATTCGATCCATGATCAAATCAGTTTCGTCCTCCGATGAACCAAAATGAGGCTAAAAACCTCATAGAACGCTATAGATCTCGACAGACGATGATGGAAGTAGTAGAAATATTACTGGTAGATAGATCTAAGAAAAGCGGACTAGAAGAGATTAGAACCTAAGCTTGGTGAAGAACCACCGGTTCTTGCCGGTCTTGAAGCGTTCCTCGAGGCGGGCCTTGGTCTCCTTGCAGGCGGTGACCTTCTTGTCGCGGGACTGAAGGGAATCGGCGGTGACGACGTCCTTGAGATCGACGTCGAGGGTGTAGCGGGTGGGCATGATATGGCTATAATTGACCAGCTTCAGGAACGCCTTCACCCGCGACTTCTTGGCCGTCTTCTTCGCCGAGTCCTTGCGGATGACCTTCTTCGGGTACTTGGCGACGCCGGCCACCAGGCAGTGCCCGTAGGGCCGCTCCCGAGTACCGTCGTCGAAGGCCCGCACGATCACTGCCTTCCTCCCAGCGAATCGCCCTTGAAGGATGATCACCGCCTTGTTCGGCTTCAGAAATTTCACCATCTTCTCCTCTTTTCCCGATCGATCCGAGTTGCTCACCCTTCCCCCTCGCCGCCACTTGAAGTGGAAACCCTAGGCAATGGTGTCTTGTAGCGAGCGCGATCGGAGTTAGGCCATGGTTGAACTGGGTCCAATGGACACTTCCTGCGACTTTGGGCCGGGCCTGGGCAATGAACCCCACAAAGCCTATCCTAATGGTATTTATAAACCACGTCATTAAGAGAACAGAAGAAATGAAAAATATCTATTAATTTGTGATGATGTGAAGTAACTTGACAGTTTATGGTAAATGCTATGCTCCAATCCTACATTCGATCATTTATCCTTTGCAATATTTTATAATGCTGTCTTACATGACCTATGTTTCATTATTTTGATACCGAATCATGTTGCAGAGTGCATAATATATCATCTCATAATAAAAGCAGATTAGTATAAAAGCTATTTTGCTAGACATGCCACCAAATAAAACAGGTTACATACTGAGTTTGACTTCATGATGATTCATTCATCGCTTACTTTATTTTTATAGGATCAAAATTAGACTATTTATATCCTTCACAAGATACGATGATATCAAGCAAATGATTTAGCCCATGTTTGAAGCCAATCAAAAAAATGAAGAGGTGAATTGTTTAGATGCAGTTAGCCACCGGATCTTCTCCTTGCTTCTTTCTCCCGATTTCCACGAGCATGGTTAGCAGAGCTTCACACATATCACTAGCATCAGCCTCGAGCTGGTCCTTCTTCTGAGAGGGATACACCATCCACGCGTGGTCCAGCTTCCGTTCTAATCTCACCACTACTGATCCAGGAACCTCTGCGTCGCGCCTTGTCACTAATCCATCACTTGCCTCTCCGTATCGCAACTTCAGGTGCAGTGCACAGACCGCCATTGCAGCAGCTACCGGGATGACAACAGGAACCTTCCGACCAGATATTATCCCTGAAGCAAACTCATCGCCCACGTACAAGAAACGAGGTAGGGGGAGCCATGGCAGCTCAGCATGCGCAATATGAGACATCGTAGCAATGACACCAGGAGCCACTCGAGCTTCTGTGTGGAATGAAACCAATGGGACTTGTTCTACAGGAAGCCTGTGCTTTGAGATGAATTCCCTTCTCTTTTCATATGTGAGATCCTCTAGAGACCTCATATCACCCTATGAAAATAAAAGACTGCCGTTGTGATCCATGACCCATTGCCAACTTGAAAGCATAATTCATGTTGTCCAGAGGGGAAAAAATTTACCTTTATTATTTTGCAGATTATGAATTCCATAATCCTTCGGGCCTCCTTGTAGGCAACTTGGCCTTCTCGGAGGATATCGGAAACAATGGGGCTACCACCATATGGGCTCTGAACCAGTGCTAGGCCAGCAACCTTGTCCTTCAGGTCTGACCAGTACATTGAAAGTGCTGCTGCTGCATCGACACCACCTTTGCTATGTCCGAGAAGCATCACACGCTTTCTGGATCCCCAGTACAGCTCCTCAATGTATTGTTTGAGTTCCCACGAATTTCTCTCCACCGAGGCCTACAGGAATCATGGTAAGAAACTAGTTATCTGCTTAACTATTCTTAAAAGCTCATCAATATGAAAAGCTGGATCAGTTGATTAGTCTCTGACAATGATAATTCCTCCAGAATTCCATGCTGAAACAAAAAACTTATACTCCTGTTTTACAGCATACTCTGAGCATGAAAAAAATCAATTCCATGTGCGTATCTTTCTCAGAATACTTCATTTATTGATTCTGAGGATCTAAAAGTTCAGCCAAGGAGTCAAATTCACAGAAAGAGAAATTTCTAAATCACAACATCGAGTGTTGCAATGGGCAACTCTAAAATTTAAAAAGCAATCATTGAAAGGGAATTGGACGATTAAGATAGAATTAAGACATAATGCAGGAGTAATTTTCATGCAATTTTCCTTGACTTAAATGACATCAAGTCCTCATAAATAGAAAATAACAAACACATCGAGATGTAGGGTCCCATTTAGTTGTGTTCACTGCATCGTCTACTACCATTAAGCTCTGTGTAGGGAAATATCCTTGGTAAAACAAACAGAGCCAGGGATGAAACTAGAAATATATGGGACAAGCATCAAAATTGAATTAGACTATTTTAGTAAACATTTGTATCATACATTGATATTTAGGTGCAGAAGATGATGAATGATTTTGAGATAAGCACACTGTGTTGCACTGTCAGTGTACTTATATGCCATCATCTAAGGTTTACAAGCATAAAATCTACCAAAAACTAAGCTTTCAATGATTCTAGAAAGACTATGATGCGGAATTGGAAATATTCTAATCATTTATATTGCTCTAGTAGTGGAAATAGATAAAACTAGTAAGTATGACTTGTATAAGAGTGATGAAGGTTCTAAACCATATATCATTTGATGAGACTTGAGACATTCTGCAAAAGCTTTCTTTGAGATTGAGATAAAGCAAGATGAAATTAGTGTTCATGCTTCATATAAATTAGTGAACTTTGCTGTCTATACAAGAGATGTTGGAGACTATTTAGTTTGCATAAACAACCTAAGCTGGCTTTCCGATGCTCAACGTTACCTCACTATGAATCTTGGCAATATGACAAGTAAGACCCATCTTGGAAAAACATTGTTTGGTGTTCACGAAATACAACGGACCGTGGTTGCTAAAAAGACCTGCAATTTAACATTTTCAGATAACATATTAACCTATGGAATCAAACGTATTCGTGTCAAGACCATATCAGCGAAGAGATACCTCACCAGGAATCAACAAATAAACCAGAGTGTTGGGAAGACGATGAATGCCATTTCTGAAAATGAGAAGATGGAGACTAACATCATTATTTATTATGACAAACAATGTCTAACAATGCCTCTTGTACTATGGCTACTCTAAAAGTTGTATCCTTATTGTAACAATTATACCCATACCTACATGTGAAAACACCAAACAAACCACCACCATACAATTCCCAAGTTTCAGACTAAGAAAATACTCACTAATGGACAAAGCTATGCCCATCCAATCTACCAAAAGACAAATGAGAATGGATGGTTGTGATCACCATCTGACCAATATGCTTCATGCACTTCATGTAGTTTGATAACTCTGCACTCTGATATCTAAATTCCACTTTTTGCTGATTATCTCACCACTTAAAAATAACATAAACCAACAGGATAGTAATTGTTGATGAGGAAGTCTAAGGTAATAGGGCTACAAACCCATGATGATAATTCATTTTATATCAGTTAAACAGCTATTTGAAGACAACTGTCTTAGCTGCTACACAAATGGACATGAAAATTCCCTGGTAATTTGTTGAGTAACTGCAGCAATAATAGATTTACTTTCCTTCAAAAAACATGTACCATTTTACCACATTGACGCCAACAAGAGGGTGAAAGCAAAGCTACTGCCAGCCAATACATTGGTACCTATTTATTCAAAAGCTTCATCATCGTGACAGAAGCTCTTGAAATTTGTAATGTGAAGAACTTAGATATGCAGAAAGAGGACGAGATACAAAAAAGCAAGGATCTTTGTGTCAAGGACAGGTGGCGATAGTGTTGAAGCATATTGTTGGAACACTGAATTAAAAGCAAATATTTTCTAGCAAAGACCAAAAAATCCCACATATTGACAATTTAGACATGAAAATCAGTATACAGATTGACAAAACATCTATATCATTGAACTATAAAGTCCACAATTTAATCAACAATATAAGTCCATGAACCAGAACAAATCACAGGCATGAGAGATACAAGATTGAACAAATTTTGACTGTCTTGTGGCAGAAACAACGTGCCTGACATCATGAAGCAGCTCCATGAAATGGGTTGTACCATCCTCCATGGGAGGAAATTGTTCAGACCTCTGCAACCACCCAATATCATCAGAAGACCCCTGCAACATTCTTTTCACACGGGATATGAACCTATAACACGAAAGGCAAGAAAAAAGAAGAGTGAGCTCAATGCACTTGACAGCCATATTTGTCACCATAATTGCTGGTAACCAGACCATGGTTGGCTGCCAGCTGCCTTGATCAGTTCAAAGCAAGAATAAATTTAAATTTAATGCTGATAATAAAATGACTCAAATAAAAAAAATGCAAATATAAGTAAAGCAATTCTATTACCCCCGAGCTTCTATGCAAATTTGTCTGAGATACATATAAAAGCATCTTGAACAAGTGGACATAACTCGACCTCCTACTCTTAGACCACATAGTGAGAACAATATCCTGCATCCAAATTCAATATCATGCAGTAAAGAACACAATAAACAAAGCATGAAAGAATCATGAGATGATCATTTTCTTCTATGACACTGATGAGATATTTGTCCAGAGAGTGTATCAACTTGATTATTTCTGGATCAATTAGAATAACTCATAAATTTTAATCTTAGCTGTTATAATTTAAGGATAATACAATTTGAAGCAACAGATTCAACTTGCTGCCTAGCTGGGTAACTATGTTATAATGACAAGCCATTTGGCAGTTGTCATGTTTAACATTTCCACCCAGCAACACCTAATATTTTCTCAAGCAAAATTCCATTACAAGATGTTGGAAACAGACCTGTTCCTAACCCTTGACCCACGACAACATGATACAATAGAAACAAGTATAATACACAGATGAATCAGAAGAGAAGAAAGCATAATTCGACGTATACTGATGTTAATACTATGGGGTCCAATGCTTACTTTTAACAGAGTCATCAATGAGATAATAGTACATCAATATATATGTATATTCCTATTTGCAAATTGGAGCCAATCTTGGATTAGCATCTAAAAAGAGCAGTAGAGCACTATATGTATCACAGAGTAACAGACTATTCCTCATGACCAACATTAGCAGATATCATAATGAAGCATACATACACTTGATGTATGAAATATGAGTTTTGCCTAGACCCAATAATTCCATAATTCCTTTGGTGGTTAATAAGCCGCCTTTCAGATTCTAGATGGTATATATTTGCTGAAGTTTTGTATGAAACTGAGAGATCTCCTTGAGAGGACCAATTACTGTTATTTAAGCACTTCTCATGACATCCAGAGACTGAAGCTTCAGAATCTTGTGAGAATCTTTCAATATCGCTGAACAAGATATCTGCAAAGAATTGGATCAGAACATATTCGTCGAGGAAAACTTCGAAGGGTTTAATTGAGTACAAGTAGTACATGTGCTAACAAAACCACATGATACAGAAAATTATTTGTATGCTCCATAATGGATGTAAACCTATGTTCTGCTTATTTTAATTAGCAAAATGAAATTTCAGAGTGCATTATAAGAATGTAACATTTAGATGCAGAGACAGTAAAACATCACATAACATAGGTTATGCAAACGGAACAAACCTAATTACCTCATGCAGACTCACAAATTACTTGTTGAAATTACAACTTAGAATCAAAAAAGGAAAGAAAGAAATGATCAGAACAAGAAGCTAAGACAAAAAGGTGGCTTTAGATTCCTAAATTTACTCATGATTTGTACAAAAACTAACAAAGATTACACCAGAAAAATGTATACAATGAAAGTTGTCTAACTAGTGTGATCTCCCAACACAATGACCACTTCAGAAACATAAAGCAAAAGATCATTTTGATTGGCCATCGACTTCAATAAGACTTGTCACAGTATAAAACTGAAAAAGTATGCCACTTTCCAAACGACTTATCAATGGTAAAAATCAAATGACATATATTAAAACAAAAAAAAGAAAGACAGAAAGATAGTCCACAAAAACTCACCAATGAATTGAATTAGACGGTGACTCAAATATGAAGCCAATTCCAGGATACGAACAAAATAATCATCCATAGCTATTCCAACTGTAAAGAATGGAGGAGGAATTCTTTTGCTCCGTGTTGTACCATGATGAAGCAAACAACACTAAATATAAAGCCTGCCACCTGTAAACCATAACATGAAATTATAGATAACTACATCAATCTATTGAGAACTGGGGAGAAGAAATTATACTTTTCATCAAGCATAGCTCCAGAATATATGTGCATATTTGTTATTATTGATATCAACAAAACCTTTCACGAAAAATATAAGGCAAGCTATAGAGCATCACCAAAAGTAGAGAGCTCTTCATGAGAAATTTGGTAGAACTTTAGGTTGCTGTTAATTCCTCAATAAGGCAAAATTAGGTAGGATAGAAATTAATCCAAAAACCTAGACAGCGAATAAGAGGTCTACCTTATGTTACAGTTCAAGCACATGCAGAGCATACTTCATAATCCCAACGAGAACAACCCAAGGGGAAGAAACATGATGAGCTATTCTTTAGGGTGCAACATTACCTTAAAAGCAGAAATGCAGCAATTATTCAATGAAGAAGCTGTTCTATAGGGTGCAACATTATCTTAAAAGCAGAAATGCACCAATTATTCAATGAAGAAAACCCCAAAGCTTATATTTTTTTTGTCTCTGACCAAAAAAAAAAACATACACTACATGATGAAAATAAAGACAGGAAAGACTTGGCAAGGTTATCGATTGGGTGAGATAATAAAGAACTCTGATCTGAAGGATCACATCAGCTAAGAATGTCATAAAGAACTCTGATTCTAAGAATGTTATAAAGAACTCTGATTCGAAGGACTGCATCATTCTAGTTTTGAAAATTCAGGGGCCAAAACTGAAAGGCAAGCCAACGCTAAGAACCTTAAATCTTACTGTTATATCACATGTTTGTAGTAGTAGTAGTTGTGGGTATCCACCTGTAGGTAAAGCGGCACACTTTTGAAAATTCACCAACATGAGAGGATCATGCCACTTCATAATTCCATTAGGGCTTGCCCCACCATGGCCAAGCCTTGGCCCACAACCAAACGGTCCTAAGCCTGAGGACCGTCAGGGCGCATGAGACTAACGAAATCTAATCTCATGGCCCTTGACTTGTCCTTCCCAACCATCAGTCTTGCCAAAGGCCACTGTGAGGTCTCAGATGCTAGACCACCACCTTCTGGCTAGAGATGGTTGGAAGCTTGCCCCTACAATCAGGACAGACCTTTCACATCTGGAAGTATAGCCCCTTTCCAAGGGCATCCATCGCTAGCCTCACTTGAATATCAAAGGAGATACCGCTGAAGGCAACTTAGGTCCCCCCCATCTAGCAATATCAGTCTTGCAAGTCCCCCACCTAGATGACCTAGCCTCCTCCTATCAGACAACCTAGAATGACCAGGTGATCCAGCCATCCAACATCACAGCTGCCTAATCGTCCAGTTTTCGGAGCAGAGACACCAGATTATAGTTTGATGCATTATGTGTTCTCCTCCAAGAAAAATGATTGCCATATCCACAAATTTTACATATAAAAAGCAAGTATATAGAAATTAGAAACAGACTTCTAACAAAAACTTGAGTATAGAGTAATAATTTAATACGAAAATGAAGTCAGCAATTAATAAAAGCCACTAAAAAATAGATTTTCAAGGTAACGTTTAACTAAATATTCATGGGAAACTTGTTTAATTTGACAAATTATCATCTCTAAAACTCCAGAGTATCTAGAACAGTTCCATGTCTCACTATGCAAATAAGGTTTTTGGACATAGAACTAAAACTAAAGGCTCATCTGAAGCATTCATCAATGTGAAGCATGAACTTTGTGATCAGTAGTAATTCACAGGAGGAATCCAATGAGAACAACAGTATTTTTGTTGGTATATATGTGCAGTTTGATATTGAATGCCTTCTCGCCTACCAAAAACCAGAGACTTCTTCGTAGAAAGTTTGTCAGGTCAGGTTTTTGAGTGGATATAGATTGAGAAACAAGGTTCTATAGTATAAACGCTGCAACAAGGGCAGTCTGGCTATTCTTATAAAGCTAAAAAGTGCCAAATCTGTTTATTGAAATAGACTTAGCAAGATCAACGGAGACTAAATAAAAAATATTTCTGCAATCTATAATACGAGACACCTAATTATCCTTCACCAATGCATACATTATTCCCGAGAACAATTGATCCCGGAAACAGCAGTTAACCAATGTTCTCGATAACGAAGTCCTTACCCAAAAGAAGAGAAGCGATTCTATACATCACTTATCGAAGCGTACAAAGTGGAAATCCCTGACGGTGCTCGAAACATTAGTCACAGAGTCAAATCGACAAATAACTAATTGACAAAACAAGCAATCAACGTATAAACATAAATCAAACAGAAAACAAAAGAGTCGATCAACAATCAATGCAACTAAATGAAAACAAACACCAACCTTACAGTTGATCGCTGAGGAACAGGGTGGGATTGCGAACAGCACTCTCAGTTCGCAGTAACCCTCATGTTACATCCAACCTATCCAGTGATTCCCAAAAACATAAGAAAATCACAGTGCGAATCAAGGAGAATCGCACTCAAGATTCGACTGCGGCTATACCTTTGGGAGAGTTAGCGATCTCATGCGGCGTCACGCCGCAGGCCTCGACGAGAGGGGAAGAGATCATCCACGAGGAGGTCGAAAGAGCGTCCGCGGAGCCGCCGGGTAGAGGAACACTCGGTGGTGGTGGCGTCGAGAAAGAGTGAGGTGAAACCGAGGAAACGGGAGGAAATAAGCGATCGTTATCCAGTCGCCACGGCGTAACAGGGCCACGTCGAAAGCGAGTGGATTCTGCACGGGAGACCGCGCGACCGGGTCGAGTGGGGGAGCGCGATGTTGGGGGTGGAGATGAGAGGGGGTTGCAACTCTCGTGTACCCATCAGAATACCAAACAGGAAATACCCTCCTATTATTGGTTCTAATGTCCGACCCCATCAAACTACACGAAGTGCCAACCGAAGGGAGATGTTGTTTCCGCTCGGTCAAGTCAGCTGATCGGGATGGGGTGGGCGGGGGGAACGGTCGAGCTCGGCAATCGAGCTCTATGGGCATTTGAATACTGACAGGATTGTCTCCTTGTGCGCGGACAGGGTAGTATTTTATGAGAGGAAGCAATGGAAATGTTGGAGAGCCGTGGAAGGCAAGCATCGCTAGTAGAAATTATTGCAGGTAGATAGACTGATTTAATATTTTGTAAAGTATTTATCTAAAAAATTTAAATTAATTCACATTAATTATGATCTATATTTGTTATATTTGGGGTTAATATATGATATTATTGAGACAGATTATAGTGATATGATCTGAAAGATAATTCGGGTTTGATCATGATTTTTTTTCGAGAATATCATAGGTGGATATGTCCTCCAATTAAGTTTAATATAATATTAAATCCAAAGAAAGCTCAGATCAATGATAAATAGTTTATGAAGATTGGATAAGTAAATGTTAGGATTAAGTAAGAGATTTAAGGTGACAATGTGGGTTATCCGATTATTACTGTACATATAATTATACATTGAATCCAGACTTCTTGAGTCATTTAATATTTTTTTATTAATTAATAATATCCTCCCTTGATATGATGCTAAGGTGTCGATTTGTCTATAGTGTATCATTTTATTATATTAGATATAATATTAAAATGTTAAATATATTTTTATAAATCATAATATATTTTCTTGTGCACTGATAAGTATGCAAGGATAAAGATACGACATGGACACAAACCTTAGGATGATAAATAAACATCGATTGGGACCATCAATTGTAACTTTTGTTCATCTAGATTTTTGTGCTTCCATGTTCTCCGATGGACTGCCCATCACCGATGGCTCAATTTGCAATGGGGCAACCGATCATAGATGGCTCATCCTCTTTTATTGACATTCGGTAACAACAGACAAAGATCAATGGACGGAAGATTACAATAATTCTAAAGATATCCAAGAAATGCTTCAAAGTTGATTAATACAAGGGCAAATTTTGATCCAATTTTGACCACTAACATGAAATAATGAATACATAATTCACTTCTTTTAATCATAACAATTCATGACCGGTTGTTGAGTTGGAAGGGAAAATAATTTGGAGCTGAAAAATATCCAATCCAATCCAAGCTGAGAAAGATGTGGATTTTTAGTATATAATGTAGGAAAATTGAATATCCAATCCAAGCTGGGATCAAGGATGATGAACTGGATCTGGATTTATTTTGATCAACTTGGAGCTGAAAATTTAGATATAAGAAGATTCTATCTCCTAAACTAGATGGTTTGATTCCGTGTTAATGTTTCGATAGATCTTGTCACACATAGTTTTCTGTGTTTAGTTGATACCTTTAGATTAGGGGACCATAAGTAGTCAAACCTCATGAACTATTCCTATATGTACCCTTTGGGATTGCAGCAGTATTATCCCTTGCAATTATGGTCGGCTACCTGACCCCATTAATGGATTATAATTCTATTAGTAAGGTGGCAATGGCCCACTTTGTCTGTTCTGTTTATGTAGTTCTCTTAATCATGTCATTACACCTAATTATTAAATCGGAAAATAGATAATAAAATTAACTTTTAATACCTGTTCCTCTTCACGTTCAACATAGTGTAATTAAATTCGAGTCAGCTCACGGAGAGAATCTTTTGTTTTCTTAGGGTTTTTGTATCCCAAGCATTTCCTCGAAACCACACCAAAGATTCAAAGTCAAAGCCTCTTATCATCCACCCTCCTTCCATATTCTAGTTGGGACATTTAGCAGCAGCATTATGCTTTCATCTCTGCAGTACACCATATAATAATGTCCATTTCTCATGCTTCACATCAGCATTCTTCTCTCCTCTCCGTTGGATTTCTGTCAGCCACGACGTTGTTGACTCCCGATTGCTTCAATCTTCGTTTACTGGCAATCTTAATCTGATATGTCGAGCAAGTTTCACCCATGGTTCTTTTTTTCTACACACGAGAGATGCAATGAGCTTAGAACCAAAGACAACTAAGAACACAGCATATGATCTCATTCCCAGCACGACAGAGCCGTATATAAATTGAGAGGCACATCGTTTGGTACAAAGCTATGAATGTGCTCGGAATTCCATTGTTATGCCTTCTCTAGATAACACTCCGTTTTCTCTTCGTTTCGTCTTCTTCTTGGTGTTGTTGGTCCCCGCCACCGTCGCCAGCGCACAGCACGCCGATGCGGAGTACTTGCCGTCGGAGACCGCGAAGGTCTCGTTCGGCCCGAGCGTGGCAATCGCGATCGGCGTCTTCGCTACCATGTTATCGCTCACCGTCCTCCTGCTCGTGTACGTGAAGTGCCGTTGGTCGATGCCCTCGGAAAGCATCATCCCTGCACCCACCCGCCAAACCCGGCATCAGTTGTCAGGCATCGACAGGACCGTCGTTGAGTCGATCCCCTTCTTCCGCTTCGCGTCGCTCCGCGGCGTCCGCGACGGCCTCGAATGCGCCGTCTGCATATCCAAATTCGACGGCGATGAGGTCCTCCGCCTGCTGCCTAAGTGCAAGCACGCGTTCCACATCGACTGTGTCGATCGCTGGCTCGAGGGCCACTCCAGCTGCCCGCTGTGCCGGTGCAAGGTCACCGCCGTGGACGTCGCCCGGTTCGCGTACTCCACCAGCTCCAGGTTCTTGTTTGCCTCCGGTCAGCACGAGACCAGCGGACGTGAACTCGAGCTGTTCGTCGAGCGCGAGCGCAACCATGACGCCGAACACCGCGGGTCATCAAGATTCGGGATCGGAAGTACGTTCGGTAACATGGACAGGAGCACGAAGGAGAAGGAAAAGCTGCCAATTCTAGAAGAAGCGACCGGTGGAGATCAATTCTTACACAAGTTCAAGCACAGGATTGTGGTATCCGACAACGTGTTCAAAGGCCGGTGGAGCGCCCTGAACTCATCGGATTTAGCGTCATTGACCTCCGATATGCTAAGCATTACGTTGAACGAACGGTTTGCACTTCTCGGTCTGAACGAGCAGACAACTGGAGAAGAGAAGATCTTCGTCGATGGTAAGGAGACGGCGGAGGAGAAGAGTCTGCTTGAAGCCAAAGTAAACCAGATCGGTGCACTTACATCGGCTACGAATCCAAACATTCCCTCACCCTCGAATGACAACGGGAATTTGATCAGCCCTGCATCGAGAGCTTCGATTTCCTCGGCAAACAGATCGATGTCTGATATCACAAACCTGTCTAGATCAAGACAAGAACGAGATCCAGGCAACAGCACGTCGAGCAGAGACGAAGATGAGAAGCTGAGGCGGCTTTGGCTGCCCATTGCGAGGCGGACGGTGCAGTGCTTCGCTGGAAGAAGCGATCGCAGACTCAGTACAGCAACGGAGATTTCAAATGTTTGACTCAGAATCTTTATTCACAAATGTTGATCTACAAATGGTTTCCACCAAAGATTAATGGAAGTCACACACAGCCTGCGTTTTTGAGTTGTCCTGCACAAGCAGCGTAGAATCCCAAATTTGAAGTCAAAAGGTCGGCGTGATCTGCGTATATGATGTAACCAAAATGTAAAAGGAGCGCAGATCACTATGATTTGGTTCGGTTCATAAGAATCGATTTTATTGGATCGAATTGAATTGAAATCAGATTAGATCAAAACGTTGATGCTTTTGATTGATAAGCGTTAATGTCTTGACAGTGGGTCGTTCGATTAACTGAACCAAATCGGCTTAGTAGTTTGCCGGTTTAGAACGAACCCAAATCGGGTTTGGGGGTGATTCCCGTTCCAACTTTATAGAATCAATCAAATTATAAAAAAAAATATTAAATTAAAAATTATGCACTGATCGAAATTTTATCTTATAGTTGTATGAACATACTTCCACTCTTCAAATGGAACTTTGACCAAAATTCTGAAATAAAATTATGACTTTTTTTGTTGCTTTTAAATTATTTTTATTAAATTAAAAAAAATAAAAAATAGAACCAGAATCGAAATTATCGAATCAAAGTGATTAGCCGCAGCAGGAATTCCTGGAAGACTCTCAGCACCCTCAATGAGACTGACAAGACAATTCATTACATTAACAATACGCGGCAAATGAGCATGCGATCAACGTCATCGGTGCGACGCACGGATATGTGCGTACGCAAGTAGTTCGTAGGTGTGGAGAAACGGACATGTCGCGTCCACCCAAATGACATTTGGGCGTGCGCCACGTAATCTAATTAGGCCAAACAGTTACACGAACATGGACCACATTCACATTTATTTCGACGCGCGGATTGCAACGGATGGAACCGAGTCTCTAACACACAGTTAACCAAGTGTCTTACTTCTTTCGTAAAGAACACAATGAACTGGTCACAATAAGTTAGAAGCTGACGCTTAAAGCACTAAAACCGTGGTCCACTGGTACCCCACACCACCTTTGCTCCGTGGGAGGCCACAAATATACTTACCTACCCATTAACACCGTCACGCACGATTGACCTGCCTTGTGATTGGAGATCAGCGAATGAACCAACGGTGGGCCTTATACTGGGGCCCGCCAGTCTCCAATGATAATGAAGGTAATTGTAGATTCGCTACACAACGCACCAAGCCTCCGGTCGCGGAATCTCACGTTCCCGCAAGACCGAATCCAACTCCCGCTCTTCGAATTCGCCCAGGGTTTCTTCCTCTTGCCCCAGCTTGGCTGACGTGACCGTTAAGAAACACTCTCAGCTAGACGTGTCTCCTTCAGAAGGCTGAAGTGTCCTCATCTGTCCTACCACTCGCGCACTCAGCTCTAGAAACCCGCGGGCGCCGCTCACTGGATCGCACGACGCTCGGAGCGGCGCACGATAAGGCCAGAAAGGGGATGGAGTGTGCTAACATGCCCCCGCGTCGGATGTTTAACTACCCTCGCGAGGCACCCGTCCATCAACTCCTCGCATTCTTCGTCTCTTTCCCATGGCATCCCAGAACCCAATCGCCCCCTCGCCAGCTGCCGGGATTTATGGCGGATCCGTTTTCGCCAACGTCGTCCAGGCACCGGAGGACCCGATCCTTGGCGTAATTCCTTCTCCTGCTCGTTCCTCAACCTTGATCGGAATATTTTGATAACTTTGAGATCGGAATGTTACGGAACGGTTTCCTTCGTATGATCTGGCTTTCTTGGATCAGAAGTAGCAGTTTCGCGTGTCGTGATCGGTTTTACCTGTTCTGTGAGCTTGAGAATGATTCTTCCGTATCTTGAATGTACAGATGGTGTTCGCTGTAGGGGTTTTATGATAGATTTTGAAGTTTTTGGGTTCTCAGACGATTTTTGGTAATGGATCAATGATTGATGCTTTTGGTGTTAAACTTTGGGAATGAATCATTAGGTCACGGTTGCATATAACAAGGATCCAAGTCCAGTTAAGGTGAACCTGGGAGTTGGAGCCTATCGAACTGAGGTATAATGAATGAGACTATCTGATATCTCTTGGTCATCGTTGTTGCAACTCCTATACCTGTTTTCTTTTCTGATAGGAAGGAAAGCCGCTTGTGCTGAATGTGGTGAGGCGAGCAGAGCAGCTGCTAGTCAACGATCCGTATGATTATTAAACTCATCTTTAGCTTAATTTTTGGAATATAAATCACTTGAAAGTTGAAGATGTCGAATGCATGTGTCATTTAGAGTAGCCGGGTGCATGGTAGAATTAGCATGGTTGCAGAGAAAAAATAATACATAGTAGACCAAATGGAAATTTGTAAAGCTTACTGGTTTAGCTTTTGTTTAGGTGTTCCCTTGTTGATGCTTTTATTGTTTTCTGAAGAAACATATACTTATTATTACTTGCTACTGAAACGGTCAGTGATATTTTTCACTACAATAACATAACAATATATTACATTTTCTATGTCTATAAATTTGTAAAATTGAAAAGATAGTTCTCTACTAAAAAAATTTCCCATTGTCAATTATAAAAAATGTTAAACACACAGAATTTCTTGTTTATTAGTCTTTCTTTTATATATTTTTTGTCATTTCAAAAGAGACGACACACATGAGAATTGCTAATGATGCAGTATATCTACTTACTTTTCTACATTATATGTATTAGATCTCGAGTGAAGGAGTACCTCCCCATTACTGGGTTGGCAGATTTCAACAAACTAAGCGCTAAATTGATCTTTGGAGCTGACAGGTGCGTAGTTCTTAGTAGTTTTTAATCATGATTGGAACATTATTGTGGTGATCATCACTTGTTTAAATGTGATTATATTTTGTTTCATGGTTGATGATTTGGATGCTCTGGTTCTCAATGCAAAACATAAAAACTGTTATCATGCTACTGTTATGCGAAAAAATTTTAATGCAAAAATATGAAATCAAATAACAATAGATTAAATTTAGGATGCATATCTCTCGATTTTATTTAGAATGCCTTTCTTTTGATTTGCAAACGAATCGTCCTTCGATTCGAAGGAAGATGCATGGAGAACTAGACTCGTCTTCTCCTCTTTTCCTATCCTTCATAGGATCACTATAAGCAATGAAATAGAGACTAAGGAGAGATAAAGAGTAGATCTGTAATCTTTTCTATTTATATATAGTCCATAGGAGACATTATTTATTTATAGGTGAGAGCATAAGTTCAAGGCAAGCAATTTGGAGTCCCTCTAATCAAGGTCATCCCTTATGAAGATTCTCATCATAATTGATTTTTTTTTTCTATTGCCTGATAATTGTAATCAGACTCTAATCAAACTCGTAATATATCTTATCCAATTAAATAGGGCTATATAATCTAATATTCTATCACTTGACCCATTAATTAGTAAGATAAAAGAGAATTCAATATCATAATAAATAAAATAAAAAATAATTTATAATTAGATTTTAAAATTTTTAAAAAATATTTTACACCTGGTCACAAATTTTATAAAATAGACCAACAAGTTCAATAAATATAATAATATTATATTAAGTTTGTTTATTAATATGAGTCATTACAGTTGTATGTCATAAATGTCATACTTTCTTTTATGTACCATGACACTATTAGTTCTTTTTAATATAGTCCATAATGACTTGTGTAATTTATCTTGTCAAGGCAATCCTATTATCACATTTAACCATGTAGTTCATAATAATCCATGTAATATATCTTGTCAAGATAATTTTATTATCATATTCAATGATAATATGTATATACATAAATGTGAACATGATAGCAGAAAGAAATAACTTTAATTACATAAGTAAAAATATTAATTTTGATGTCCATGAGCCCAATCATAAGAATATATTCTTTAAATACCTTAGGTTGTAAGACTTTAGTAAATAGATCAGCAATCAATATAGTGGAACTCAAGCTCTCAATTAACATTAATTATTTTTTGATTCTTTCTCTAACTATCAAGTATTTTATACAATAATGCATAAAATTATTTACTTGTGATTCTTAGAAAAAATTGCTATTGTCAAAATTAGGCTAGAGATCATATTCTTTGAGAATTTTGACCAAATTAGGTCTAAATTTGGTTGCGATCAAAATCCAGTCAAGTTATAGACAAAATCAAATCTGGTCATAAATTGAGATTGATCGAGGTTAAAATTGAACTTCCCTAAATTAAGTCAAAATCGGGGTTGATCGGGTCAAAATCCATAGGATTGATTTGAGGTCAAAATTAAATTTTATCTAAGTTAAAATTAAGGTTGGGTCAAAATTAGATTTAGGGTAAGATTTGGTCAAAATTGATTTTGACCACACTCTCTTAGCATCCTCGTTCCTCGTGGTTGGTTCTTCCCCGCGACATGAATTGCGGCATCGTCACTACCTTTGCCAGCAATGATGCGCCATTGATTGTGCTTCGCTATGCATCCTCGTCCATCGCACATCGAACCCTCCAAATTGCTGTCGTTCGCCGCTGAACAAGAATCCGTCATCTGCTCTACATCGTAGTGCCTCGTTAGTCACCTTTTGTGTCGTCGTTGGGAGCAATACCTAAATCACCACTGCCCAAGAAGACCTTCGAGGTCGCCTGAGGCGCTGCAACATCTATCACTTGCGCCTAACCAGCGTCATGCACAACCATCTTATCGTGGGTTCTTTGCAGTGCAATCGTTGTGTGACCTCAGTCTTTCGGCCAAATGTTGTGCTACTATCCACTAGTAGCACCCAGGCCATTGTCATGCGCCTCATGGCCTTCGACTGCGCACCTTATCCGCAATGCTCGGATTGGTCTTTGATTGCTATCAAGTCGGTGTTGATGATCACCATCATGATACATTGTCTGCGACAACACTTTTGTATTGTGACTCCTCTTATCTTGTCACGACATCCAATGGTCTCAGACGACGGTTCAATCGCCAAATCCCATCATCGTGATGACACCCAACGACAATCGTTCTGGTCATAACGTGCCACGACCTCGTGTGACCGTCGCCCTTAACAGCACTGTTGCACCACCACTGATACCCAGGTGTCCGTTAACACTTTGCGGTGTAAACCTGTGACAGTCATGAGACTCATCATAGCGCCCAATGTTGCTATGCCACCATCACCCTTGGCCATCGGTAGAACCAGTGTACATCAGCGCTAGCAGCTGGAGTCCTATTGCCATGACTCCCTACAACATCGTAGATAGTCGTCCGCTACCCGTAGCAAGGTCAATGAGAAAGCAGGCCGTTGTCTTATGTTGTATAGTCGTGTACAACAAGCTGTCTGGCGATACAGGTGATCGCAGACCGATGGCCACCTATCATTAACACTCAACATCGTTGCCCTCCTATGCCACTGCACGTAGCGTTGTTGTGGCTTATGCAGTTGTAGCATGCAACGTTGTCGCCTACAAAGTTGTGGCTTGCGATAAGAGCCAATGACCAAGGTAGGTCGTTGACCTTCATGGCGTCGTTGACAACAACATACTACCGGTGTAGCTCATCGATCAAGATCAGGCAACAACCTTCCGTCCACAATTCCACTCTCGTGGGCGAGAAACCTTCATTGCCTACAAGCAGGAAACTACGAGATAAACAAAATAGATCGGATCATCCTTCGCAAGCAAAGGGCGAAAACACGAAACAGAACTAATACAAAATCAGGTTTAATGCTTTTATAATCTAGGGTATTTAATTTTTAAATAGACTCTTATACCAATTGTAAGCATAAAAACTGCATGCTACTATTATATGGAAAAACTTTAATATCAGAATTTAAAATTAAATAATAATATATTAAATTTAGGATGCATACCTCTCAATGTCATTCAAAATACCTTTCTTCTGATGTGCCAACGCACTGTCATCCGATCTGAAGGAAGCAATTTGCAAGGAGAACTAGATTCATCTTTTTCTCTTTTTCTATCATTCATAGGACCAATATAAGTGATGGAATAGGGGCTAAGGAGAGATGAGAGTATATCTATAATCTCTTCTATTGATCTATAAGCGAGAACAGAGGGTCTAGGATAAGTAATTAGGAAAGTCCCTCTCATCAAAGTCATCCTCAATAAGGAATTTTATTATAATTGGACTTCCTTTCTATTGGTTAACAACCCTAATCAAAATTCAGTTAGAACTGTAATATACCTTATCCAATTAAATAGGACAACATAATCTAACACTCAGAAAATTATCTTGTATATTTTTAAAATGTCTCGTTATAACTTGCACATAGAAGCTCTATTCGATTGCTGTTTTACATGGAATACTGGTTCACCTTGGATTTTGCAAAATAAACCTTTAGCGGCAAGGCTGAAAGTGTTTTGACTTAATTTTCAAATTGCTTTATTTTGTATTAGTGCTAGTGGGAAAATTGTGCAGACTTGATATGCCAAGAAGAATGGTTTTTTTAGAAATGTTGCATCTGCTCCATGTGCTAGTTAGCCTTTTGTCCTTTATCATCATATTAATAACAGTGACATGTTTCAGAGTTCTGAGATTTTAAACCAAATGGCTGATAAGAAGAATGGATATCAACACCGATAAGCTCATCTTGTTGATACAATAAAATTCATGAAACAAAGCAGATGGTTAAGAGAAAAGAAAAAGAGCTTTTCAAATGTATCTGTTATGGACATATAATATACCTTGACACTATTAGGCCTTTTAGCAAATATGTAGTTGCAAATGAAGAAGAATGATCACAGTAAGTTAGGAAGCATTTTTTATTATCATTGAACAGGGACTTGCTTTTCACACTATAATGTTTCAGAGAGGTATAAGAGTTGACAGAACGTAACAAAAGAAGAAACTTCTGGTCAATTATTTTTGTCATTGATCATCAAAAATCTAGTGAATGATGATTAGTTTTGCTAATTTTGTTTTCTTCTTCAGTGAGTGATGACATGTTTCTTTCTTTCCAACAGTCCTGCTATTCAGGAAAATAGGGTGGCTACTGTGCAATGCTTGTCGGGCACGGGCTCATTAAGGGTTGGAGGCGAGTTTCTGGCAAGGCATTACCATGAAGTATGGTGTCATCTCTTAGTTCTTATTTCATATTATGGCAGTTTAAGCAAGTAGTTTTGAGATTCAGATTGCTGCTTGTCCAGCGTACAATTTACATTCCACAGCCAACATGGGGAAACCATCCAAAAGTATTTACATTAGCAGGTCTATCAGTGAAGACTTACCGCTACTATGATCCGACAACAAGAGGGCTAAACTTTGAAGGTATGAAACATACCCTTTTCTGCCTTAGAATCCAGTTATACTTATTGTTTGTTTTATTTATTTATTTATATTGAGCATTATAACCATTCTGTTTTTAAACTAATATTCCTGGTGATGGGGAAAAACCTGGTGATAACAGGTCTGCTAGCAGATTTAAGTGCCGCTCCTCCTGGAGCAATAGTGCTTCTACATGCATGTGCACATAATCCTACTGGTGTGGATCCAACTCTCGATCAATGGGAGCAGATCAGGCTGCTGATGAGATCAAAAGGCTTGCTACCTTTCTTTGACAGTGCTTATCAGGTAACCATCTGGAAGCAATAGTGCTTTGGTTACCAGCTATACGGTGGACATGCAGGGTGAATGATTCTTCTGGTGCTTTGTTTTCGCAGCAGTCTATGCTAGTGATGGTATAAAATGTGACCATAATGCTTGTAGCAAACTTGTGTACACACATCCTATTTTTTTAATCTACCTAAATATACACAAAGAAACTCCATGTGGTTTTAGGTATTACTTATCATAAATAATTCTTCTTCGCTAAACATTTTGCTTCCATGGACCCATAGCGTGTATCTTTATATATTTGAGTTTATTTTGCATCATCTCATTGTAGGGGTTTGCAAGCGGAAACCTGGATGCTGATGCACAATCTGTCAGGATGTTTGTTGCTGATGGTGGTGAATGCCTCACAGCTCAAAGCTATGCAAAGAACATGGGTTTATACGGGGAGCGTGTTGGTGCACTAAGTATTGTAAGAGGCTTCCATTACGTTTAAAACTTCTTAGATGCTTTTCTTGGTTAGATTTTAAGTGATCTACCTTGCAGTTGTTTTGATGATTACATGATTATTTTGATTCCTTCATTATAACTGTTCTTTTTTCTGTTAAGGTATGGTTGATGAAATCAACACTTTCACATGTATCACTTTCCTCTGAGGTGTAACTTTCATAGTGTTAGGTACTCTATTACCATTTCAGACTGAACACTAAACTGACTTGTAAGATGATAATATTTGGTTTTACCACTTTAATTGTTTTTTATTACTCACATGACCAGTTGGCAAGAGGAACTGATCTCCTCATTGCATGAAGTTCTCTAACTTTTGGTTTTCACCCTAAACATCTCTGTTTATGTCATGTGCAGTTGTTTGTTTATCATGAGCAATCAGCCTGTAGTCGATTTTTGTATAACTTTCTGTTAACGACAATCAGTGTTCTTTAAGAGAAGCAAGTACTTTGTAGTTGGTTGCACCCATCAATCTCTGGTTTCCTATGATCCAACCATACAGTAAATAAATTACTGGATGAACCACAATAGTGTGTTTCCAAGTGATAGAATGAGCCTACTTCTCATTTTTATCAAAGATCTCTCAAGTCTCATCACAAAATGTTAAATATACAATGCAAGGTTTGAGGAGTGATTTCAACAACTTGCATTTGGAGTTAAATTTTCTTTAGTCCAAGTCCTAGCAATTAGAAGAGTTCGTCCTTTTAGCCACTATATTAAATTTGAATATGCTTACATGCCACACAATTTTCTTATGGTTCACTTTTTACAACTGATCACACAGCCATGATGCACTAGATACCAGTCTTAAGATGTTTTAATGGTTATTGTAAATAGTTTGATACTTTGAGATAGATTCTTGGTATTTTTGTTTGGTCATAGATTGCTTTGTTGCTAAATTGGCATTCTAGCTAATTATCCAAAACCACTTTTAAGTCAATTTAGTAGTAGTTTGCAGCTACCTCATCTGTAATTAATGACAACTGCATCAATGTTCTTGACTTAATAGTTTTTGGTTTCTGCTCTTTCTTAGATTTTTTCTTTGATTTCCATTTCAAATTTATAGGTCTGCAAATCTGCTGATGTTGCAACCAGGGTTGAAAGCCAGCTGAAGCTTGTGATTAGGCCCATGTACTCTAATCCTCCTATTCATGGTGCTTCCATTGTGGCTACAATTCTAAAAGACAGGTATTTCATTATTCTAGTCTGCTAAAATCAGTCTCTTAATCATATTGGTCATTAAACTTTAGATGGAGATTTATGAAAACTTCTATGGTCATTGTTTTATTACAATGTTCATCATATTTGTAATCCTCTTTCTTTTTTAAGTTCATCATATTTGCTATCATGTTTTCACCCGATCCTGCATTTTAGAGAGTTGTACCATGAATGGACTATTGAGTTGAAAGCCATGGCGGATCGAATAATCAACATGCGTCAGCAGCTTTTCGATGCATTACGTGCTAGAGGTATGTGAATTCTCCAACTGTCAGCTCAGAGTAGTGTTTCTTTCAATGTTCAGTCTCATGCATAATTTTTCTTATTTATAGCATATGCTAAGTGACTACTACCTTAAATGTTTCACATCTATTACATTGTTACATCCAATGTGGAGATCAAACAAGAGCTCATTAGGTTACATTCATTGTGAACCAATAAATCGATCTGCATTGGCTATATTTTTCTCTTATATCACTGTATGAAATGTGCAACATGTATGGTCTATTTAGAGAAGTTGTATTTACAGTTTTGAGCTACACAAGTGGAAATTGTGGTCACTATCAATGAACTAAGAAGCTTCTTTTCGGGACATACAGGGACGCCTGGTGACTGGAGTCACATTATCAAGCAGATTGGAATGTTTACTTTCACAGGGCTTAATACCGAGCAAGTGACCTTCATGACCAAAGAGTATCATATTTACATGACCTCTGATGGGTAACCTTCCTTGTCTCTCTTGGCTTTAGGGTTCCCCTGATGTAGTTCAAGCTTTCATATTATCTATCTCGAGTATAAATCGTCTTTTCTCTTTTCAAGTTTTTGTTATTTTGCATCTTTTGAGTATTCTGCTGACATCTTTCTCGTACTGTTTAGTTCCACTAGTCTATTTCCGATAATTATAATTTGCATTTTGTAGTGTGATAAACAATTAAGTTGATACTTTGTCTCCTTGGTAATACACTAGTTTTGTCTAGAGCTTTTTCTGATAAGCAAACGGTGGTTGCAGTAGGATCAGCATGGCCGGTTTGAGCTCGAAAACAGTTCCTCATCTTGTTGATGCCATTCATGCTGCAGTTACTCGCATGAAGTGACAAATGAAGATCTTGATCCAGATTCCACTGTTGTCACAACACCTTTTGGAACAGTTAGTCTGTTAGGTTCATCAATTTTCCCATATTCTGTTTCTATTTCTGCAATGACAAGTCCAATAAGATGTGGACAAAAATTCCTTCCATAACTATGCCTTTGCTAGACATAGTTGTATGGATTCTAACATTAAACTCATATGAGATTTATGCAGTATTATCTATGATTTCCATTGTTCAGGTTTTTACTACTGTTCTTCATCATCTATATTTAACTAGGAATTGATAAAAGAATATCCAGATCTGTGACCTTGCAGACATACTTGTAAAATTTTACCAGTAAACTCATGGGATTTATGCATTGGTATCCATAACTTTTATTGTATAGGTTTCTGCAACTATTGTGTCCGATTTACCAATTTAACAAAGTATGAGTGAGTTTTTTCCTCAGCAGAACCTGTGACAAAGTTCCGTAGCTGTACTGATACTAGTTCTATTTACTGGTGAAGTGATGTCCCATGGAGCAATTCAAAGAGGTGGAAATATGTAATTGTGTTACAGTCTTTTGGTTATCGTGTGAGAGAAGAATAGGATGAAGAGATGGGAAGAGGAGGTAAAAAAAAAAAAATAAAGGAAGGGAAGAATAGGAAGCGGCGGCATACCAGATAGGAGTCACAGGCGGTAGCGGCATCGGGGGCGGAACAGGAGAGTGAAGACGGAAGAATGAGATGAAGAGGCATATGATAGTCATTAATTTGGATTTTGATATGTTTAAAGAATATTGTATATATTTATCTTATAAATTAGTAACTTTTATATTTATTCTTTAGTTTCAGTAATCAACAAAAATTATGAAATATATTTGAGATTTTTAAAATCTGAATTTTATTGAACTAGTTAGTAATTACGATTGGTAAATTTTTTAAACAATCCAACACTACATGCATCATAGATTAATAGAGATCTTGACCACCCTAACCAAATGTTACCTTCATTATATTAAAAAAAAATTAAGAAAATATTTTAGCTTGCAAAGACAAATTTAGTAATGTGAATTCCAGTTTAATTATCATCCCCCTTCCTTAATAAATTTCTCATCGGCCGATTTAAACCATCCATGAAGGATTCAGACACTCAAGAGACTGATAAAGGAGGGAGAGGGTAGCCTTCAATGCCGAGTTAATCAACATCACTTCACGGGCTTGATATGGTATTGCACCGTCTCATGCCCCCTATTTATAACTATTGGAATGCAACATGCCCACATAGTAAGGGCAATTGTAGCACCAAGTACTTAAACTGAAAATTTCCTTCTTTAATCTTGAAATAATTATAAGTTGTGATCCTCAAGTCCATACCAATATCAGAAAATAATTTTAGATTTGTGAAAGTTAATCTTCTGATTAATAAGTGCCCATATATAAGATAAATATTTTTTTAGTAGAATAATAGGATCTTTTATTGGCATGAAAATAAAGCAAGATATTATGTATATGGCAAATCCTAGAAGAGTTATTAAAGCTAAAATGAGTTTTTTTTTTTAATCAAGAAAGATATAAATTGACTGGTGAGAATGTAATAGATAAGGAAGGCTGAGGTCTCCTTATCTAATGCCTAGGTAAGAGGGTAGCATTTAAGAATAGTCTATCTTATCATATGTCATCTCCAAATCAATATTATGCCTAGCTCATGGGTTAGATTATGTCTAGTCACCTGGATTGAGTCATGTCTGACCACATGAGTTAGGTCATGACCATATAAGCTAGATCGTGCTTATTCATATAGGTTATATTGTAATTAGTTATATGGGCTAGGTGCCACGTAGGTTTAGTCATACTTGACTATATAGAAGGGCCATAGAGATCATGTTCGGCTTTGTTATATAGGTTAGGTTGTGCCTAATCACATGGGTTGGGCAATATCTAGTCATATGAACTAAGTTTTACTAATCACATATACTAAATCGTATCTAACTATATGAGTTAGGTCATGCTTGATAATATGGATTAGACCATACCTAACCATTTTGTCACATACAAAGTTATAAATAGGGCGTTCGATGTAATACTCATTATTGTTTGTGTCTTTTGATTTTGTTCATGCTTTGTATAGTATGCAGAGTGTTTGTAATAGGTTTGATAGCCCTATTTTGATTGATTTTTGTGGTTGTTTCATGCTTGTAAATGTAAATTATATGCAACCATCATATAGAGGCAAAACTATCCAAAAATAAACCATCGAGATAGTTATTTTGTGGATTTTTTAGCCAACATAACTCTTAGGAGCTATCTAGGTGGCACATGACTAGATGAGACATTGGGATAATATATAGAGCTAGTTCATTGCTTTGTTTTGCTATAGTATTATATGAGCACATGTGGGGGCTTTTGGCCGCAACAATCTACCTTGGACCCTTTAGGCACAACAATTCAAAGCTTGCAAAATATATGATTGTAATTTGCCTTGCCTATCAAGTATTTGCTGAAATGACTATTTGTGAGATCTCAAGTTAAACGTTTCCTCTGATCTGTCTTTTCTTTTATATGTCCTTAAGGAATCCTAAGAGGTTTCGGGGAGGTTGACTCTTTGCAGATGAACACGCAAGAGTGTCGCACGACTTATGCAAATCTAATTAAATTCATGACCATGGTATCAAAATAAGATAAGTACACTTAGAAACACTTGACATACAAACGTGGGGACCTAGTGGGATTACGTTGAGGACAGTCAGTACGCGCAACCATTTGAAGGAAGCGAGCATTGAGATTTAGGGAAAGAGTCACTTAGAGATGTGTGCATCCAAAATTAGCATTTAGATGAATGGTTAACCTTTCGTGTGAGAGGCATCACAAGGACAAGTAAACTGGGAAGAACGTATAGCACACAAAGATTAGAATGGATGAGTTTGAGCTACAGCTCAATATTGATAGTCAAACTTAATGGTACTCAAGGCAAGCGGGGTACTTAGCAAAGGATGAGACCAAATAAGGTATGATGGGTTACTCATCGACTGAAATAGATATGCAATGCTTATAGAGGTGAAGAGAATTGCTAAGTCAAATAATTCAGTGAATAACACGATTGCAAGGACTATGGATTTAAGGAGTGCATACTATGGTACCACTAAGGTAGGTCTTCCCTATGTGCATTGAATTTTACATCAAATAAAAACCTTGGTCATCAGCATATGGTGGCTGTGTACCACCGAGGGAGAATTCAAGCAAAACTTCTTATATTCTAAATGTTTGATGCCAAAAAGTGCAAACACTTCGAGTGCCTCGGAAGTGTGACCAAAGAGCAGGTGAAAACTAATAACTAACTCAATATATATAGTACAACCCTTAAGAAGGCAAACAAAGTCAAATAATTTTTACCTTTTTATCTCTTAAGAGAATGGGTAAAACTAAGTACCACAGTTCTCTTATTTATCTTGTAAATGAGCTCAGCACATGTTCAAAAACATTTCAAAAAAAGTTAAAGACAACGATCATCAAATCCTCACTAGTGGTGATCGATTCTAAAGTGGATTATTCGCTTCATTTCCTAACATAATATTAATAAAAAACAAAATTGATTTGAATATAATTGGAGGTGATAATTAAGTAAAAGAGGAATCAATGGACAAATTTTACGGAGAAAAGACTTCAAAAACTTCAAAGTCTACCATGTGATGCTCATTAAAGCTCCAATCACCTAATTCCAAGTGGTCTAAGATGTTTGAGAGACTAACACAAAAGGTCTTTTCTTTTATCTGAGAGATTTGTAGGAACCAATAAAGATCAGCATAACTCGACCAACCCCACACTAGAGTTAAAGTCATTGGCGAGTTGGAATAATGTAATGGATCACAATTCAATTACTCAACAACAACGACGGAGAGCAGTTAGGAGGTAAGAGGTGTGTTGCAACTAGAGTAAAAGATTAAAGATTTAGCAAAACCAAGGAGATGCAGCATCCACAAAAGCTTCGACGAGGATATTGAAGGAATAACTAAGGGAGAATATCATGAACAAAGTTATAAATATAATGTTCAATGTAATACTTACATATGTATTTATCTTTTGATTTTGTTCATGTTTTGCATAGTATACAAAGCGCATGTAGTAGGTTTTATAGAATTATTTTGATTGACTTTTATGATCGTTTCAAGCTTGTAAATATAAGTTATGTGTAGTCATTGTGTAAAGGCAAAACTGTTTAGAAATAAATCATTTAAGCAACCAATTTGGAGGTTTTCTAGCTGTGGAGTAGTATAGAGTATTAGTTAGCACAACACTTATGAACTACCCTATGACACGTGATTAGATAGGCTTTTCAAATGGTGTCTAGGGTTGGTTCGTTGCCTTATTCAGTAGCAGTATCATGTGGGCACTTGTAGAGACTTTTGACTATGAATGGCCATATTGGACCTTTTGTCGCATGCCCATTTAGAGTTTACAAAGTTTATTTTATAAATCTGTGTTGACTATCAAGTGTTTATTAAAATAACTATTCATGAAATCTTAGTTAAATGCTTTCTCTAACCCGTTTTCTCTTTTTCAAATCCTTAATGGATACTAAAAGACTTCGAGAATATTGATCTCTTATAGACTAACATGCAAGGGTGCGGCATGACTTAGACAAAATTAACTAAGTTCGTGATAATATGAACTGGGTCATATTTAACCCACGTAGGCTATTTTATACTTGGTCAGATGGGTTGAGTTGTACTTTACCATATGGGTTAAGTTGATATGTCCAATCAACTTAACTTAAGTTAGACCGTAATTTGACCATTCTTAGTAAATTATATTTTAATATTTTTAAAAATATTTTTAAATAGTATAAAATAATAATTAACCTCAAATCTATTTTTTTCATAAATTAACTAATTTAGATTCATGATTTCAAATTTAAAACTAAATAAATCATAAAAATTCATACATAATTTCTTGAAGTATAAATATGTCTAATTAAATAAATTAATCATCATAACATCAAAATTTAATATCATTATTTATTAATCATAAAATTTTAAAATTAAAATATTATTATGCATCATATATATTATAATAATTTAAATATCAAATATTTTAAAATATGAATAACCATTGATAACAAAAAAAAAAAGAAGATCATACTTCTCCTTCAGTTCCTCTCCTCGTATAATTCTTTACTCAATACTCCTACTATTAGGCTAGAAAAGGAATCATTTTATACAAGGAAAAGATGAGCAATAGTTTAAATTTTATTTTAAATTTATTTTTAC